TATCTCAACCAACCTGGATTGACTGACTACAAATTTACCTAACATGAACTTTTAAACATAAATTGTTCAGAGCAATTGGACCATACTGAAAGATAATGTCATCACGCTTTTGATGGCCCGTGGGCGTGCGCGAGGTGCGCAACCCGCCACCGTGAGCCAAATCATAATCATACAGCTAACTTTCATCGACAGACCTTCCTCAACTGAACATTACACTATAAATAGAAGCTGAAAGAAACATAATTGCTCATGACTTGCTGGACAAAATTAAACTTAACTCGGTATCGAACGAACATGCCCTTAACCGAGTTCAACATGAATTTTCTTAAAGATTTCTGAAAATCTCTTGAACAATGACTTTGAAATGACCTTATTAATATGAATATAAGCTGAAGGAGGGATTACCTTTCTGATTGCTCGATGGAATTCGGAAAATAAGGCGTGATTATAAGCTCTTGCGGTTGCCGTGCGATTGTGCTTCTTTGGTCGTGCGTTTTGATGGAAATTTTCTTATCACTTTGGTTGCTGAATGTGATGATATAAAGCTGATGGGTAAGAGGAGATAATGTGCTGCTTTTCCTTAGGAAAAGTTGGGGGAAAAATTCAATCAAAACATCCCTATTTATACACGGCCGAGAGAGAGAGAGAGAAGATGATGGTCGTGTGATGTGGCCTCTTTAAAGCCTTAACACTTGTTCTCTAGTGGCAACTTCAAGCATGACTCATCCCTATTAGTTATTCCTCCTCTTAACACGTGTCATGACTAAGGTGTGAAGGAAAAGAGTCTCCTTAAGACTTAGGAAACCAAGGAGTAAACTTTGAACTTACAATTATCTACACGCACGGCCTTAGAGTAAAATTTAGGCTAGTTCACCTTATAACTCATGGCTTTAAGCTTAAATGGTGTGATTAATTATGATTAATCACTTATTTTATGTTTAATTATTTAATTAAACATAATGCTTAATTACCAAAATTATTCCGAACGTAAACGGTACGCCGAAAATAAATTTCGGTAATCTCGACTGAACATAATTAATTCTGAAAATAATAAACGATAACATTATTATATCGGAATTATACGTAATTTATACCGATAAAATATCGGGATATTACAGCACGCGTACGAGGAAGCCGGCGGTGGCGCGGGGCTCGCGGGCAGTAGCGGGTGGACGTACGCGGGCGAGGAAATCGCAGACGACCGCGAATGGTCATACACGGGCGATGCGCTGGCAGGAGCAGACCGCGACTGCACAGACTTAGGAGTATCGGGCGTAGGCGCGTACGCGCGGGAGACGGGCAACGGATGCAAGGTGCGCGCTGGGCGCGTAAGTGCAGGTGACGCAAGCTGAAACCGAGACCTAGCGGGTGTAGGAGTGCTGGGCGCGGATACGCACGCGCAAGGGGAAGTCGGCGTGGACGTAGCGTGCGCAAAGGGCGACGCGTGTGGCACAAGAATGCACGATACCTCGTGCGAAGAGGAGTAGGCGAGCGCCGAGGGCGATGCGCATAAACACGCGACGCGTGTAAGAAGGGCGGCCGAGAGTTTTGAAAATGTGGGATTTTAGGGAGCATTCTAGAATTGCTTGGTGTGCAAGCCAAGCAATAGTTATTTGGTAGCTTTAGGATTTTATTGCTTTCTAGAGTTAGGATTTATTTTATTGCATAGAATAGGAGATCTAGATCTATTAGGCTTAGATTTATTTTGCGCCTATAAATACCCCATGTACCTCATCATTATTTTATGTCTTGAATTGAGTATTGAATTGGTGAGCCAATTGAGGGGAACTTTATGTTCTAACGTGTGTTAAACAAGGCCGTCAGTACGTGTTTACATACAGTGTCGGAGAGAAGGCCCTGAGAGCGTCTCAAAGTCACAGTGTCTAGGAGAAGGCCGATAGTGCGTCTGTTAGATACACCTATCGTGGATAAACGAAGGCCCTGAGTGCACCGTTTATTCACAACCCACGTATAAATAACAACACCGATTAGCGGTCCTTCATCATTGGTGCTTTCGTTGAGAGGTGCTGATCGTGTTTTTATTTATCCTATCTTTTTCTTTTTTTTTTCGGTTTGCCTTTTGCTGAGGGGCCGAATTTCTCTTTATTTTTTGGTTTTTGGGGTTCGAATATTTTTTCGAATTTTCCCTTATTTTTTCCGAAATCGAGTCTTAAAAAAAAAAAAGTGTCATCTTGTTAGTCCTTTGTTTGATTTTTTGTTCGGT